TTGTATCATCTGTGCAAAACCCTGCTGCATATCCCACACTAATAATCCTTTTGTTTGAGATAGGGTCTCACAGCGTAGCTCTGGTTAGCCTGAAGTATCCTCAAACTGAAAAGATCTGCTTGCTTCTGCTTCCCAAGTGCTAGGACTTAGGAAGGTGTGTGCCACCACACCTGGCTTGATCTTTTTGCCCCTCTCCCACATGACAGTTTTCTTCTGGCATACTTATTTTCTGTATACTTGCTTTGCTCTCGCACTTTAAAAAGTTTCACAGAGCTAAGATCTATGGTTCACTGACACGACCCACACACCATAGTAGTGTCTGGCTCACAGTAGACCCTCAATAAATATTTGAATTAATGGGTAATAAATTTGAAGAAGCCTCAAACTGTAGGTTCTAGAACCAAACTTTGCCCTCAGTGTTAAATTTTATCAGTATTTTAGTTAGGGTTTTTATTGCTGTGATAAAACAAAATGACCAAAACAACTTGGGGAGAAAAAGGTCTATTTCAAGTTACAACTCTCAGGTCATACTCTGTTACTGAGGGAAGTCAGGACAGGAACTTGAGGTAGGCACTGAGGAAGAGGCCGCGGAGGAGTGCTGTTTACTACTTTGCTTCCTAGGGCTTGCTCAGTCTCAGGCTGCTTTCTTTAACACTCAGGACCATCTGCTCAGGGTTGCATTACAGAGTGAGCTGAGACCTCCCACATCAGTCACCAGTCAAGAAGATGCTCCCAGGCTTGTCCACAGGAAATTATCAATTGAAATTACCACTTCTCAGTTGGTTCCAGCTTGTGCCAAGTTGACATAAAAATTAACTGGCACAACCAGTTGTTGCTGTAGTCTCTCTCCCCACCTCCTGTGTGTGTGTGTAATTTATCATAAACTCTAGTTTCAGTTGAAAACTTTTAAGATCTAGCACCAGTGATTTTGTGTTCTCGCACAGCAACTTACTGCTCAGTCATGGTGGTGTGAGCTTTCTACCATCTTAATATATCCTTTCTAGAACTCCCCTAATTTCCATTGGCTATTTCCATTTCCTATGGATTTTTGTGTGAGGGTACATGTGTGTGTGTTTGAAACAGGGTTTTGCCTTGTCCAGCCAGAACCTTCCTATTGCAAACCAGGCTGGGTCCAGATGTTGAACAATCCTATCAGTGCTGCCTCATAGCTGCTAGGATTAAGGATGTATAGGATTAGGTACCTAGGTGTTTAATTTGGGATTCCTACCCTATAAAGCCAACAAAGAATGTTCTGCAGTTTGTAGTACTTCTGTGCTATGGGGAGGGATGATAGAAAAAATGAATTATAAAACAATTACTAATAAAGTCAGTGTGAAGCAGGGTCTTAGAAGCTTACTGTGGCATTAGACACTAACTCTGCAGTTAGTGGATTTTGAAGTGTTCCAGAGGGAGGGCCAAGGTGTATATTTATATATTTATATAAAAGAGCTCAGGTAGGGCTGTTTATCAACCAGTATATTAGTTCTAAAGCATTTTAATGATCAGTATAGTTGTACAGTATATACTGGTTGAATATGAGCCTTGGTTAATGAGACAGGGTTGGGGTGGAAATGAAGTGACATAAGCAGTGACCTAGAGTCTATGTCATAGTGCCTGCCAGGTCACAATGGACAAGATTGCCTGAACCTCTGCCACTTCTCCTCTGAACCTCACTTTGCCGCAGGGAGGCACTGAACAGAGAAACTGCCTTGTTACAGGTCCCGCCCCTCTCTCTACTCCCTTTCTTATATCAAGAGGGGAAAAACACGGAACTACCTCTATCCCATCTGGTCACCATACGCCTATTACCTCTACTGCTACAAATACCGGTTCACCCTCCGGGAGAAGATGCTGCCTTGTTGTTACAAAAGGTATGTGCTTTCATCTTTAACGGTTTACATAAAGTATAAGTAAAATAAAACAATTTGAAAGAATTTCCTAACTGGAAGGATAGAAGCTTGCCATGGATTTGTATAATTTTTCTATATGGTTGGCCTGGAAAAATAAGCTAGTCCATAGGTGACACAGGAAACAAGTGTTGAAGACTGGACCTGTGTAGCTATATCAGGAAGCTACCTTCATAGTTTTATGTCTTTATCCTAGGCTCTGAGGTACACTAATTTGTACACTAATTTGGGTCTTTCTTTTCCAACAAGCATCACTTACAAGGAACACGAGGACCTGACTCTCCGGCCCCATTACTGCCTCCAGTGCTCCTGAGTCCCTAGGAGGCCTCCAGGTGGGCAGGAACACTGAGCAGGAAAAAGACCACAGCCAGCTTAAAGAACTGTATTCAGTAAGTAGACTATGAGCTGGTGGCGTGACAGGGCAGCTCTTTTTTTTTTTTATTTTTTTGAGGGAACATTATCCAGTTGATAACCATAAAACCTAGGGGTAGGTAGGACCCTAAGATCATGTGTAAAATCTACTTGCTTTCTAGATGGATTTTAGCCCAGAGATCTAAAAGTAATATAGCTGGTAGCAAATAGTGGGATGAGAAGTAGGAACAAAGGTATATCACATTATAGTGGGACTTAGGGACATAAAGTACTTTAGAGATGTGCCTGGTAATAAAAGGCCTGTAATCCCAGCTTCTCAAAAGAGCTGCCTAGGACACAAAGTGAATGCAAGGCTAGCCTCAGCAACTTAGCAAGACCTTATTCCCCAACTCCACAAAAACAAAAACAAACAAAACAACCAAAAACTAAAAGTGAGGCTGGGACATAGCATGAGTAAGACAACACCTTGAGCTTTCTAGTACTAGGAGGTACTCCCGTATTTGACATCACATAGAACTCAGTATGGGATGGCTATTCCTAGGACAAAAGAATATTGTTACATCTCAAGATTCTGACCTTACCCAGTCTCCCTCATCTGCCTCTCCTTGGTTCTACAGAAGTACCCCAATTTGCCCTTGCTGTGATTTGAAGATTAAACGAGCACAGATTATTACTTCAACCTTATTTCTTTTCCAGGCTGGGAACCTGACAGTGCTATCAACTGATCCCCTGCTTCACCAAGATCCAGTTCAGTTAGACTTTCACTTTCGTCTCACCCCCAATTCCTCTGCTCACTGGCACGGCCTTCTGTGTGACCACCGACTCTTCCTGGATATCCCATATCGGGCCTTGGATCATGGCAACCGAGAAAGGTTGGATGGGCGGGGGGAAGAGATGGTGTTACACTCTTTATCATGTCACAGTGACTCAGAAGCTGGGTCAAACAAAACACTAGTAGCACACAGACAAGATCTTAGGTTTTAAGGAATAATTTCAGGTTGAGGGCCAGTTGCTAGACCCAGACTCAGGAACACCAAAGTGAGAATCCAAAATAGATGAATACTTTTCAGCTGCTTAGCAGTCTTTTTCTCCATGACCCTTTCTGTGACATTCACCTCAGTCAGGTAGAATCCCTTGGCTTCAGAGAAAAGCTCCCAAATTCAAGTAACTTTTAATTTCCCAGTTTCAGTAGGTAGAGAGCAAACACTCATCAGTATTTCTCCTGCTCTGTCTTTTTAGATTCTGAGTTATCTGGGTATTAACCTTCTCTTTGGCCTCTAGTTTAACAGCAACACTGGAGTATGTGGAGGAGAAGACAAATGTGGACTCGGTGTTTGTGAACTTCCAAAACGACCGGAAGGACAGAGGTGTGTCCCTTTTCCCTCTATTGCAAGAAAAATTAAAGCACACAACATTCTATTCAGTACTATCACAACTAGACCAACAAGAAGCCCCTGTAGGTGGTGTCACATACAAGGTTGGGAGCATGTGAGGAATTACAGAATCCATTCAAGGGATACGGCCGACTGACAAAGTCAACCACATGTATTAAGCCTTCAACAGCAGGGAAAAGACATGTATAAGGACATGTCTAGGACAGGAATGTATTTAACCAAATGCAGTGTTACTGCTCATCTCTCAAAGAGTTTATATCCTGTTGAATATAAGATGAGGGGTTGGGGATTTAGCTCAGTGGTAGAGCACTTGCCTAGCAAGTGTAAGGCCCTGGGTTTGGTCCTCAGCTCTGGAGAAAAAAAAAAAAGATAAAGATGAGCTGGGTATGATAGAACAAGTCTGTGAGCTAAGCATTTGGAATTCTACACTCAAGGTCAGACTGGCTAGTGAGATCTCATTTCAAACTAAACCGCAAACTGAATGCCATCACTGCAGTAAGTGCTTGAATCTTAACTCTGTGAAGAAGATTCTCATTTCCACTTTACAAATGAGTAAACTGGAGATCTGAAAGGTTAACTAGAATGTTAAAGTGGATTTTAGAGGTAGGGTAGAGTCTGTCTCTATCATTCCAAAGCACACCCTAAGCCTGCACTACACTGCTTTCCAGAGTGACTTCTCTTGAGAAAACCTCTATAAGTAGTACAAGAGCTGAACTTCAGTGGGTTTTTTTTAAAACTTTTATTAATTATACTTTATTCACTTTGTATCCCCCCATAAACCCCTCCCTCCTCCCCTCAGTGGGTATTCTAATCATTTGTTCTGTTCTACAGGTGCCCTGCTGCGAGCCTTTAGCTACATGGGTTTTGAGGTGGTCAGACCAGATCATCCTGCCCTCCCTCCCTGGGACAATGTCATCTTTATGGTGTATCCCCTTGAAAGGGATGTTGGCCAGCCTGGCCAGTGAGCCTCCCTAAACATGTTTATTCCATCTCTGTGAGGGGCCGGAAACCTCAACACCCGGGACTCTGGGGCCCAGGATGTGATTTAAGACACTTCCATCCTAGGAAATAAAGTGTAGTGCAATCAAAGTGTTGATGATTTCTTGCAGGGAGGGACTGTTGGAGTGGAATAAGCCTTACACAGATAAATTCACTGCAGGACATAGTAACTGAAAATATCACAGGGAGGGACCCGGGTCAGACATGGGCGGGCTCCTCTTGCCTTTCCCATAGCCCTATACCATTTTTCCATTCCCACTTACTGTTCACCTGCCAAGATCAATAACTAGTCAGCTAGAAAGTTCAGAAAGACTAAACCTTGCCAGAATGCATTTATATATGTCAATTCCTTCTCTTGGATGTGAAGAAAAACAGAGAAAGTGTCCTAAAGGAAGAATTACAAGAAAACAGAACATTCCAGAGAACAGCAAGAACTGGGTTGTATTGGAAAAATGGCAGGGGGACTCAAAAGGTGAGATTTAAACTGACAAGACACATTGAAGGGTAAAAAAAATTTTTTTTTTGAGACTGGGTCTCACGTAGCCCAGGCTGGCCTCAAACACATTCTGTAGCAGAGGACGTTAATTCTTCCACTTCTACCTCCCAAGTGCTGAGAACAGGCTGTGTACCATTAACTATGTTTATTTTTACACTTATGGGTATGAGTGTTTTGCTTACATGTATACACGTACACCATGTGCATATCTAGTGCACAAGGTAAGAGGAGGTTCCCTGGGACTGAAATTCCAAGATGGTTGTGAGCCACCATGAGGGTGCTGGGAACTGAACCTAGATTTTTCTCCAAGAGTAGCCAGTGTTGAGCATCTCAACAGCCCCACAAATTGGTTTTTAATAGGCTTTTACATAATAAACTGCAAGTTTTATGATCTCCATCCCTGAGAGAAAGCAGCACTGAGGAAAGTAGGCACTCAATGGCCTCCAGAGCCTGTTGTATAGTAATTCCAATGCCAGGCTGAGTACACTTCAATGATTCACCACAGTCAGAACGTGAAACACTAATAGGAGCCTGTCTAGGTTCCTACAGGAGTATAAGAGATGCTCAAACTGCCCCTTCTTTGAAGTCTTTCTAAATGGTTCCAAAAATTTTGAACTTAGGATATTACAAATGACATAGAAGTGCTATACCACTGAGCTACATCCCTAGCCTCTCCTTAATTTTTGAGATAGCATCTTAGAAAGTTGCTCAGACAAGGTCATTAGCTTTCACTCTCCTGCCTTGGCCTCCAAGAAGCAGAGGTTATAGACCGGAGTCACATGGGATGGCTACTAATGCTAGAGTTTAAAGAGGCACACATAAGGCATCCATATGTTCATTTTTCATTGTGCATTCGTATTTAAGTACTGTCACAAGTCTCAAAGATGTCTTACAATATTGTCAGCAATGGAAAGCTGCCAGAAGGAAACAAGTCACCTAAAGTCTTTTAGCTTTTGTGTACATAGCTGAAACTGGTTATGATTCTGAGGGACTGGCTGATTTCTGAAGTGACTTTAGGGGATGAATATGAATGTTTGTATGGGAAGAGCACTTCTTTCAAGATGCTTTTGTATGTGAGGCAGCTGGCAATTACTACCAAGACTTACTCAAGAGACTTTACTCACAGGCCTATTTCCAAGTTGTGACTGAGTATCTGGGTTTAGATAATTTTGAGAACTTTATTCAGCAAACAATCCCCCAAATTATTTAAGCAGAACTACACATCCTTTCTCTCTCTCTAGGTGTGTGTATACAAGACAAACTGGCAATATACAACATTTCCTAAGTTGCCTTTTCCTTTCTTCTAGTAGCATTTTAACTAAAGTTCACAAAGAAATAATTGGAGTACTGTTAAAAAAACAAACAAACTACTCTAATAACCTCAGCGACTGAGGGTGAGAGGTAGTGCTCTCCTCCCCACGAGGCTTTTAAATATATTTATGCTGATTTTTGTCTCCTGATAACTGCAGTCTTCTGAATTCACCAATACTTCCTATAAACTATAGTCGCTGATAAGGCGAGTCAGAAATCTGCAGAATCATCATTTCCAATGCCCAAACCGTGGCTGTTTCCCAGCCTCAAAAAGAATACAGCCCAGCAGTAATGCAAATTATTACTGGCAGAGGGGACTGCCTGACGAGGCTAGGAATTACACAGCAGCATCCAAACATTAAAAGACAGGGGAAGAACCAGAGGAGTTAAGTGAGAAATCTATTTGTCTTCATTTGTCTCCAACTGTTGCTTTTTGGTAAGTCCAATGGAACAGAAAATGGATTTGATCCACAGCAAGCCACACCATGTGAAATAAAGGACTTCATGGATCTTTCTATCATAGACTCCTCTCTCCTGGCACCAAATCCTGCCAAAGACATAGAGACAAAAAACTTAAAAGGGCTTTGAGAGCAAGTTAAGCTGCATCAAAGATGCTGAAGAGAAATATACAAAGGTAGGAGCATAGGGAAGAAGAAATAAAAGACCTGTTGTCACCCTCATTACTTTCCTGTTGCTACAGATAGATGACAGCACCACTCACACAGCAAAGCAGACTGCTGATCCAGCAGCGGAAGCCCAGACTTCAGAATAAGTCATCTTCAAGGTTATCATCACCAGACATAGAGGCAGCTTCTGTTGAGCAGAAATGAGATAGATTGCCTTATTTTAGCAGGCACTACCAGTGAGGCTCAGGCGGAAAATGGGTGGTTGGTGTTCAGTGTCCTAAGAGCCAAGTATTTTGTGTGTGTGTGTATGTTTTTTTAGACAGGGTATCATGCAATGCAGGCTGGCCCCAAGCTCTGTCTTTAGCTGAGTGTAACCTTGATCTCGTCATAATCCTTCCTACACTTGCCAATACTTCCTACACTTGTGTGTCATACTCAGCTGGGAATCTAATCCAGAGCTTTGTGCACGTTAGTCAGGTACTCTACCAATCAAGCCACATTCTCCAGTCCCAGAACCAAGCTTCAATTTAACCTCCCAATTTGGAAAGATGAAGAAAAGGTAACTTCCACAGATGCTGTATGAAAGTACTGTCGTTTGTACCTGATAAGCTGAGGCAGGAGAGGGTATGTGGTATCTCTTCAGGGCTCTTTTTGGTTTCAGTGAGTATGCTGGCAAGAGAAGCATCTGTTTCTGTGGCCTTAAGGTATGGAAAAAGAGAAAAAGGAAAGAGTATCTTGACTGGTAGGAAGGTTGATCAGAAGTTTTGGTTAAGGCTCAAACTGGTTGCTGAAAAGGCACAATGTCTTTAATCACATTTTAACCAGCCTGGAAAATGAAAAAGGTTCTCAGGATAGTATAAGCTCCATCTCACTAAGTGTGTGAAATGGAGCTAGAGATGACTCAGAGGTTAAGAGCACATATTACCTTTCTGGAGTACTTGAGTCAGATTCCCAGCACCATGTTAGATGACTCACAGTCTGTTATTCACCTTCAGGAGTTATAATGCCTCTTGTCTTCTTGGGCACTCACACATCTGGCAATCACTCTCACATACAGATACATACATACAGATGATTAAAAAACAAATTGTTAGGAGCACAACAAGTTAGCAGTACTGCCTGCTCTTCCAGATGATCCAGGTTCAGTTCCCAGCACCTACATGGCAGCCTACAATTGGCTATAAGTCCAGTTCCAGGGGATCCAATACCATCTTCTGGCTTAAGGCACTACATGTATGTGGTGTAAACATATACACGCAGGCAAAACACACACATATGAAAAAAAATCATTAAAAATCTTAAAAAAATGAAATTGGCAAATGTTATGACCAGAGACTTTCATTGTGCCTCTATGCACTAGACTTTCCTGGAAGAAGCACCACTGTAAATGACTACAATGACTTACCATGTCCTTCAACATATCTGGGACAGGTCTGTTTTCTTCCACGTCTTCAGGAAGTTCGATTGCATAGCCTTTACGAACTAATTCTAGCCCAATATCAGATTTCTAAAAAGGAGAAATGGAAAGGGAATGATGTTCTGTTGTAAGGGAGAGCAAATTTGCAATTGGGATGGGGTGAGATGGTCAGCAGATCTTCCAAAGTCGACGTAATATCAGATAAGGGTTTCTGGGAAAGAAAATATGCAGCAAGCACTATATGAACCTCACCCTTACCTTCCCTTTGCTGGTATCATATAAATAGATCTTTGGCCAAGTTGAGATTCCAGTCTGGACATAGCTAGAGATCTTGGCCACCAGGGGCTCCCAATCAGCACAGTGAGTGAGTCTGTCAAACTCATCTAGAGCTTCTTCTTCCCACTGTTCACCTGGAAGAAGATCATAAGGCAAAATAAGGAGCTGAGACTCAGACTGGTAAGAGCAGTACTGGTAAGAATAGGAATACACCCTGGAATGAAATTGAAACTACTTTTTATTCCCAGGAATGTACTTATGTTCTCTGATGGGTTTGGATGGGACTACCAACCAAGTTTGTCTTGATTTCTAGTGCTGATAAGGAAAAGGCACTCGAGTTTCCAGACCTCAGAAATGTTGAGAATGTGATAATTCCTCTTCTGTGCTATATGAAAGTTACTTTATTGGAGGTGAAGCCAATAGGTGGATTGACTCGTTTACCTGCGGGGGCAATCCGTGCCAGACTGCATTCTATTGCTTGAAATGGGAGGCTTAGAAAGTCACTCCTAAAATAAAAGAAACTGAAATTAGAATCGCAGGTTTATACATGTTCCCTTCTAAATCCTCTTGATCATATATACTAACAGCTCACTACTTTATGGCTAGAAGCCAGTCAACAGCTGGGATTCTAGCAGATTCCACAGTGGCTTTGGTACTCACCTGAGGGCCCTGAGATCCTTCAGTGGACAATCTCCATTATCTCCAAAGTCAACGAAGTAGAGGTCCAAGTTTCCATTTTCCAAAGTTCCAAGAACCCGGGCTCGATACCAAAAACCATTTGTAGATAAAGGTGCTGCTACAATGTCTCCTATGTTCACAGTCAAGTCTTCAGGCTGTATTTGGGGATGGGAAGTCAGGAGGGGGTAGTCATAAAGTTGTAGCTAATAATCAGAGAATAACAGAAGGAAAAGAACATGTTGCAATGAAAAAGATAAGGCCCAGACTAGCTTTTTGTCTGTGGCAACTCACCAGACTATTCTCATAGTGCTGGGTCATCTCACTGACAAGTTTATCCAATTGCAGGCTGCGGGAGCCAACGATTTGGATCCAAAAGTGGTTAGGGTGCTCAGAAGCAGAAACGAAGACTTCTAGGTACTCATCAGCATGGAAACTGAAGTCAGGACTGGGAACTGAACACAGGGGTAAGGATGGTGACCATATCAGTTCCATCTTTGTTTAGAATGGGGAGACTGTATCAGGGAGATGAAAGATACATATACCCAGTGGCTGTTTACCATTTTAGAAATGGTTAGAGGGACAATTTGGTGACTCAAACAAAAATGCCCTGAGGGAAGGTACTAAGTTATCTTCTATAACTTCTATGTAACCAGGCTTATACTGTCATTCTCCATGTACTCGAATGAGGCATCAATTATAGTGAAGGTTAAGCCTCAATCTGTTAGGTCTGGCATGATCAATAAAAAAGTACACAGATAGCAATTCTGCTTATTTCAGATTCTATTCTACCTGGGATTTATTATGTGAACCTAGGCAAGCCTATTAGGAGGCTCTGCCCTTTCTTGTTCAAGCTAGCATGTCTGCAGAGGAGAGGAAGCCAATGGCCATTTCATTCTTCAGTAATGACATCTAGAAACAGTAATGAGACAGGCAATATAAAAACCAGGCTGAGAATTTGTGTAAAAATTTATGCCTAAATATGAGTGCTTAGCAACAAATGGGAGATCTATAGCACTCCCCATCCCCACCTCCCACCCAGGCTCAGGGAACAAGAGGACATAAATAATGTAAGGATCAGAGGATGAGGAGTGTTGTAAAATGGGTCTTTTGGACATTACATGGAGGTTGCATATAAGAACCCACAGCTGCTGTGGTTATCTGCACAAGATGAAGCCAGTTAAAATTCCAGAATGGATCAGGGAGGGGCTCCTGAGGCCCTATGCCTACCTAGATGAGGAAACAATGGCAGCTGTTGGATGCTGGGGGAGGTAGAGTTACTTTTCTTTGGGAATATGGTCACTCATAGGTTACCCATGCCTCAGTGGATGGCCCCACACCCATGCAAACATGGGCAGCACAAATTGGACTTAGGGAATTATAAAATAAATGAAGTGGGGAGGAAGATGTAGTGGGGGAGCACGGTAGATATCAAGATATGTTGTATATACATATGACATTTCTTAAGATAAAGTAAAAATATGATTTAAAGTAACTGTAAAAAAAAAAAGTATCCCTGGGGCTGAGGACAATGGTTTAGTTGGTAAAGTACTTGCCATGCAAGCATGAGGACTGTCCCCAGTTCCCACATAAAAATCAGGGTTTGGTGGCACTACTTGTAACCCCAACCTCTGAGCCAGGGAGGCCAGTCATCCCAGTCTAACCAGCAAGCCCTAGATTCCAGTGAAAAGGCTTTGGCTGAAAAAAGTAAGGTGAATGGTTCTTGTAGAGCAGCACAAAGCTCATGTCTGATCTCCATGCACTCATGTGACATACATTCAACGCTATCCTGGCATGAACACACATACACACATACACACATACACACATACACACATACACACACACACACACACACACACACACACACACACGTGTAGAAAGAGGATATAATAAAAATTTAATTATTTAATGTATTACTTAGATCTGTTTACTTTTTCAACATATTTCTAATTTTCCTTCATTGGCTGTACTCAAAAATTATTATTGTTTGGTATTAATCTAAGTAAAATATCAGAAAGTCATTATCTATGATGACAGAGATGGAAATCACAAAAACAGAATTTTTAATTGTTTCCTATTTAGGTCAGTTAAATCCAGTATTCCTGTCTCTCATAGGGTTAATAGGCTCCTCTTCATTACATACTTTCAAACATGGACGTCTCTGGACTGCTCTGGGCACCAGAATTCTGAAAGCTGTCATCATTAGGTTTCTCCCAGGAACCTTCTTTTGGTTCTACAACAACCATATCACCACCTCCTTTTCGGAGAGGAACCTCCAGGGGTGCAGCTGGCCCCATGCTAGTATTGGTATTTTTCCATAAAGCTGCTTCTCCAGCTCCATCGGGCTCTGTCACTTCCTCTCTTCTCACACTGATTGGCTGCTTTCGAGGGACTCTGGTTTCTGCAGAATGGGCAATTCTCTTCCGAAGTTCTTCATCTTCTGAAACTTTCTCCAATATCAGATGCTGTGGGAAGAAAGAGAGGGGTCATTTATGTGTAGTCAAATACTGACAAGAGGCCAGAGGATCACCCTCATTCTCAGATATACTTGCCTTAGCTGCTGTCACTTCCTTCTGTGTTCCTGAGATTTTTATAAGTCTTGAGAGTAGCAGGGTTCCCTCTGATTCTTTGTCACAAGTAATTTTGGCTCCAGAAGCCTTACAGATAGATCGAATTGTCTCGCCGCCTCTCCCTACATTAATATAGAACAACCTGTCCTTTCCTCTAGGCCAACAGTCACTATAAGAGAAATCACTATTTTGTGTATGTTACAAAAAGGAGTCAGTTCTCATAACCAACTTGAATAGAACATAAGACAGTAAATGTGAATAAGAAACTGCTGGAGTAACTACTGGAGAAAAGAGAATATAAGACTCTGTTTTAACCATTTTATTTAAACTTATGCACTGGATTGATTAACTTCAAGTCATTTTCATTTTTTGGATACAAAGCAGCTATACTTTATATTTTCACCTGAAAGTCACAGGTGCATCAGCATCCTGGACTGAGGACAGGAAATTTCTTTGCCTCTAATAGCAGCACAAAGGAATGGTCCACAGAAAAGCATAAGGTACAGTGATCTCTGGATCACTGTCTTCAAAGGTCTAGGGTACTACTGGCATTGCTAGCATCCCTGGAAGAGCCTATTTTTAAAAATTAAATCTTTACTCTATGTGTACATGTTCATGTTGTATGGACTAGGGTTACCACAGCACATGTATGGGCATCAGAGGGCAACTGGGTTCTTTCCTTCTACCATGTGGGGTCTGGGATGGAACTCAGGTTGTTACCTTTATCCACTGAGACATCTTGCTGACCCATAAAAACCTGTTTGGAAGACTTTAATCATACTGCTTCTTGATTTCTTTAAAAAAATTTTTTTTTTCTGAAACTAAAGTTCCTAACTAAGTATGTCATTTTCCCCTAACAAAGTGAAGGGGAAGCCAGGAAAGCCCTTGGAAATGTGGGAAAGACAGGCAAAGGTAAAGAATAAAGCGAACAGCAGAAGAAGCTGTTTAGTGGTACCTATGATTCTGCCCACAGATCTCTGGGGAACTGAGAGTTGCTCAAACACTGGAGTGTTCTCTGTCAGGATCTGATGGATTGCTGCTTTGGCCTTGCACACCTGAACAGGAAAACCACTGATAAGCAGTACTCGCTCATCGCCTACATCCTCAGTGTCCACATCAATCCGAGCACCTGTCTGTTTCCGAAGCTGTAGAGGAAAGGAGGCACACACGTTAAAGAACTTCAGTTTGGGCCTAGCTAAAGACAGTCTATCAAGCCCTGGATGCAGGTGGAACTGGCCATAATTATTAATGGCCCTCATTTACTTGTGTTAATGCATCAAAATTAGTGACAAAGGCAATCCAAATAGTTAATTTAAAGCTATCTCTGTTTATAACACTTTTGCTCTCTGCTTTTGTTGGGATTAGCAAATATTTTCTTTTTTTTTTTTGCTAGGGAGCAAACCAAGTCCTCCCAGTGCTAGTCAGAACTTTACCAATGACTCCAATTCCCAGCAAAAATATTTTGTTTTCTTGACATTCCAGCTGAACAAGAGAAGATAGAAGATTAGCTAGGCAACAATTCCTTATTGTCATCTATGGGAGCTCATTAGCTACCTAATAAAAATATTCATGCTATATCAAATTAAGAATCATCCAATCAAATACTATTTCAAGCTTAGTCAGCTACCATCTGAGAAGTACTCATTTTCAGAAGGAAAACAGTGTGGTTAGCCTAATAAATCCCTGCATTTTTTTTTTCTTTTAAAAATATATGTAGTATGGGTGTTTTGTAAAATGTGGTCAGAGGAAGGAAACAAGGAGTCAACAAATAGAATCAATCTGTGGGAAAGCCATCACCCTGCTCACATCTTACCTGTTTAATATTGGCTCCTTGTCGACCAATGATGAGCTTCACAGCCTCCTGGGGAACTCGCATTTCTATCTCAATGTCATCTTCTCCAACAAATGTCAGTCGCTCTTCTGTGCAGACCATAACAGACTAGACTTAAATATGCTAAATCTACTACTGTTCCTCCCCTGAATCAGACTGTCAGAGTCACTAATCCAAGAGACAAACTGTGGATCTCAACCACAGTGCAAAACATTGCATCTGAATGTGAATCAAGGTCTCAAAAGACCAGAGCTGGGGCTGGGAATATAACTCAGAGGTGAGGGTGTAGTGCATACAGAAGGGCAAGTTCAATCCCCGGCACTCTACCTGCTTCCATCCAAAGACCATTTGGCATTTTCTTTGGGATACTATTTCAGATGTTAATATGAGAAAAGAAGATTCTGGAGAAGAAAAGTTATAAGTTTAGGATGCTAGTTTAAGACATGACTTCTATAGAACCATGAAGGCTAGAAGTTGTTGGAGGCTTCCAAGAGTCTAAAAACTTAATTTTATATTAGTTATTTCTTTGGGACCTGTTCGCTAGGTCCACCTGTGGCCTGTCTTCTGACAGCTGGAGAGAAGCAGCAGAATGAGTATACATATATTTAAAATCATGTAGTTGATTTTGCTAAGGGGAAGAGTCAACAGCATCATAATGAGTTCCCTTCAGAAACTAGTATTCCAATGACAAAGGAAGAAATGAGATATTTTCAACTGCTTCTCACAGAAAACTATATTTTAACAAACAGTACTGGGTTTGACAGGTGCAGCTCTTTCAGCTTAAAAGAGGGAGACAGAATATTACTGCAGGTACTGCCTGGGTTCACATACCTCTGCTTTCCCTATATCGGCGGTATAGGATGTAGGCTACTGTTGCACTTGCTGGGATTCCAAGGCCCAGGGCTATTTTTTGAATAGTGGACAGGCTTGTCCATGAAGTTTGTTTGGTGGACATTTTCCTCTGTACTCTGACTTAACATCCTGAAACAAAGCAAAAAGTAGTTATTTTTGTCAGTTGTCTTGTTGGCAGAGAGGAATGGGAACACATTATACTGGAAACCAAAACCAAACCCAAAAAACTACTAAGCCAGGTAATGGTGGTGCATGACTTTAATTCCAGCACTTGGGAGGCAGAGGCAGATGGATCTCTTTAAGTTTGAAGCCAGCCTGGTCTACATGATGAATTCCAGGATAGCCAGAGCTATACATAAAGAAACCCTGTCTCAAAATCAAAAAACAACAAATAGAATTGAGAGAGAGAACCACTACTGCCTATTTTACCATTTCAAAAGCTCCAGCTTAGAAAAACAAAAAACAACAACAACAACAACAAAAAAAACCCAAACGATTTCATGGGAAAAGTATCAGAGCACTTAAATATGTTAGTTAAGGACAAACATCTCACTTTTTTTCTGAAGAAGAACTATATATTAATTTTTAAAGACAAAGGAATGAAAAATTAAATATTGAAAAATCCCATATACAGTAGAGAGCAGGATGTTTGTCTTTGGGTCATGGCATTTTTGGTGTTGAGCAGCTGGGAGTGAATTAAAAATGGGTAATATTGAGAAAGGCAAGCAGACTTTTGTTCAGAAGTGTGCCCAGTGCCACACTGAAAAAGGGTGCCAGGCCTAAGACTAGACCAAATCTCCATGGTCTGACTGGGCGGAAGACAGATTAGGCTGCTAGATTCTCTTATACAGATGTAAACAAGAACAAAGGCGTCATCTGGGGACAGGACACACTGATGGAGTATTTAGAGAATCCCTAAAGTACATACCTGGAACAAAAATAATCTTCACTAGTATTAAGAAGGGAGAAAGGGTAGACTTAATAACTTAACCTTAAAAAGGCTACTAATACCACTGCCTTATTTATTGCAAAACAGATGTCTCAAGGCTTTTAATGTGTACTATAATTTAATTCATTACACCAGAATAAATATGAATACATAACAATGTTTTTGTCAGATAGTTTACTGATTTAGTAAAACTGACTAGTAGTAAACTGGAAGTGATCCTTTTTTAAAATAACAATTCCAAGCTGGGCAGGGTGGCACATGCCTTTAATCCCAGCACTCAGGCAGGCAAATCTCTGTGAGTTCGAGGCCAGCCTGGTCTACAAATTGAGTTTAAGATAGCCAAGGCTACACAGGAAAACTGTCTCAGAAAAACAAAACAAAACAAAACAAAACAAAACAAAACAAAACAGAAACCCAAAACCCCCAAACCAAACCAAATCCAGTTGCATAAATACTATCAGTGCTCTTCCTTTCTCAAGATAGGATTAGACTTAATTAGTAATGTTTAACTTTCCACAAAGAAGGGGGTATCACCTAGCCAATGGTTTTATTCTTAGATTTACACAACTGGGCATATGAATATATTTAAACACTGGGGAAATTCACTGTCTTAGAACCAAGCAAAAGACTGTGTTTCAAGTTTGTATTCACTGGCTTGTTATAGGCAGTGGTTAAACATGATGCAACTGTTTATTCTTGACGATGCCAATTTAATTAGAATTCCCTGTCAAAGGGTGCTTGCTGTCTTTTAGTACTGAAAAGGTATTTAGTGTGGTTTATGTACAATATCAAATAAACACTGAAAACAATATCCCACATATAGTATATAGTTAGATTTCATATCTAACTACTTAGAATTCCTTATTTATACTTTTAGGTCTTTCCAGAAGCTGTGGTCTGCAAGGAGTGCCATTTTAGGTCTAGTAAAGATCTTGGCATTTTTTTTTTTTTTGGAGGTATACTCTTTATTTACTGTCTCTACATCTCATTTCTTCTTCCTCCTCTTCCTTCTTTATTTAAATATTTAGTTTTATTTTGTATTCATCTGAGAGCCTTCACATTTGTGTACCATGTAAGTGCAGGTGCCTGCCTGTAGAAGTCTAGAAGAGGGAGACAGATCTTTTGGAACTGGCATTACAGTTGGTTGCGAGCCACCATGTAGGTGCTGGGAACTTAACCCTGGTGGTCCTCTGCAAGAGCAGCAAGTGCTCTTAACCACTAACCTGTCTCTTCAATCTCCGTTTTTTTTTTTTTTTTTTTTTTTAATACTGCTCAGCCAAGAGTGAGCTGGAGCTGAGCTCTGTTCTGCTCCTTCACCAGACTCCAGATTAACCCAGATGACATTCATGAAGCCTTATTTTACTAGTCTGCAAATGCAGGAAGGCAGCTACTTTCACAAAACTCCCTCCATCTCTATGCCTTTCCCCTGCATTCTCATTTTGTTTCTCTGCCTGGCAGGGCCATCCAGTCCCTTCTGCTAATGTTACTGCTCTTTTCAGGCAACCTGACACCTGCAGCTTCAAGTGCTCCCTACAACCTAATAATTCCCACAGAGCCTCACCTGCCCCACTTCAGGGGGCACATCAGATCTCATTTAGAACATTAAACAGCTTTCTTACTAGTTTTGCTATGAATCTCTAACTGTACCTTCACTTTGTCAAGCAAATATAATTTCCCTCAGTGTAATTTCTTATCCCACATGTCTAAATTACTTCAAACTATCGCAACTTTCTAATGTTTCTTTCTTCACCCTTTTATTCCTTTTTTAAAGACAGGGTTTCATGTAGCTCAAGCTGGCTCTGAACTTTAAAAAATTTTTTTAAATTATATGCATGCTTGTCTGTGTATGGGTAGTAGGAGTTTCTGGCCGTTGTGAGGTGCCTGATATGTGTGTTGGAAACCAAACGTGGGTCTTCTGGAAGTATAGCCAGTGCTCTTAACTGCTGAGCCATCTTTTCAGTGCCACAACATTCTCCTCTCTTAAAGAAACTCCATTTTGATTATACTTTCCCCCAAATGATTTCCATTTTTCCTTTCCTTTTGTATAAGACCACAAAATGTAGTAATGTATCTGTCCTCATTTTCTCTTCTTGAATACTCTCCCACTGTTCATCAATTACACCGCTGAATCCAAAGATCAATTGGATTCAGTTGATCTTTTCAGTTCCCATCTTACCTGACTTTGCCACAGTATTTAGCATAGCATGGGATATCCTCTTTTCTTTGCCCCATTTTTTTTTCCCTCTAGGAACTCATAGATGGTAGGCAGTGGTTCTTATAAGTGATCACATTTTTTTCTTCCCTTCCTCCTTTCCTTCCTCCCGTATGTTAGGTGAATGTTCTATTACTGAGCTATATCCCCAATCTTACTTTTTTGGCCAGAGTCTCTCTGTAGTCCAGCCTGGTCCTGAATTTGAGGCACTTCCTGCCTCAATCTCCCAAATGCTGGGATTATAGGTATGAGTGACCATGCCTCCTAGTCTTTAAATTTTTTTGACAGGGTCTCACTAAATTACCCAGATTGACCTTAAACTCAAACTCACCCTGTGACCCAGTGAAGCCTTGAATCTATACTCCTACCTCAGCCTCACAAACAGCTGGAATTATGGGCCTATACTACTAGACCTGCAAAATCCTCTTTTCTAAAATGTTTTCTTCATTTGGCTTTCCCAATAGCATAGGCTCTTAGTTTTTCATCTCTATTTCTCAGTCTTGCTTAGCAGTTCCTTCTCTTGTCTGCATGTCTTTAAACCTCTTAAAATGGAGTGTCCCAGGGATCTTTCACCCTAATTCTGTGTTCTGCCTCACTTCCTGGCTGATCTTATCAAGTTTCATTAATGGCTTTGACTTCAAATCCCATCTAAAGGATGATAACTCCCCAGTCTGTAGATTTACTTAGAAATTTCCTCTTAAACTATGGGTTTGTATCCCAACCCCCCACCCCTTTTTTAAGGCAGAGTCTTCTAGGTAGTTGGCATAGAACTAAGCAGCTCAGGATGGGCTTGTGATACTCCTATCCCAGCAGCCTAGCCTGGATACTCCTATCCCAGTGCTAGGTTATAGATTAACTGCCACCATACCCAGCTGTCCGTAATATTACTGACACTGGTCACTCTACTCTGATCACTTTGTATTCTTCTTTTGCTAGACCTCTGCTCTAGATGTGGCTGGGATGTAGCTTAGTGCCACAGTACTTGTCTAGTATGTTCAAGGCCCTCAGTTCAATTCCCAGAAATTATACTTAGATTAATACAATTGCTTAAGTATTTGCCATCATCTTTTCAGCTTATCCTCAAAGTTGGAAAACTTCAAGTAATGTTTCCTCTTAAAACATTCCAGTGGTTTTCCATATTGCTATGATTAAAAGCCAACTTATCTGACAACTTGCAAGGTTATTTCTCATCTCTACATAAGAATGCAAATTCCTCAAGAGGGCAGATTATTTTGTTCCCTGCTTCAATGTTTAGCATACAACAACCACTTAACATTTGTTAAATGACTACAATTTCTCTTATTTTTTCCCTTTTAATGTGGCTTTAAGGTGCCTAAATGTAAATTCCTTAATGGAATGAAAGATACTTTGTAGTCTGATCTTTGCTGGCCATCTTCATAGCCTCATATTCTTTGTTACAGGAACAGGATCTCCTTACATACCTTCCTCTGTTACATGTTGCCTGTGTCTTCTGAGTCTTGCTCTTCTTTCAACTTTCATTAATACTACCTCTTCTGAAGCCTCAGGGGTTCCTAGTTCTGGCTGATGTAGGTCACACTACTCCATCATGGTACTTGTCTGTTATCCTACTTCCTCTAAACTACTGGCTTTACTAGTGCAGTTTAAGCACATTAAGAACTTCCATCTGCTAGATACTATTGTGGCACTAGGAACAACAAGATGGAAAAAAATGAATGTGCTAAGCAGCTACAATCCCAGTCACTTTATACATATTATTTTATATTCATATAACCTTGTAAGGTAGGAAACAATAACCTCATTTTTTAACAGAAGTACACATATACCTGAAAAGCTTATTTAACTTATCATCTAGTGTTTGAGTTATTATTAGCTTATGAAAAATCTTGTCAAGTGATTTCAGAAGTTTCTTAACTTTCCTTTTACTTAAACTTTCAGGGTAACAGTATAATTCTTTATTTTGATCAAGTTCAATGCAAAAATTAATAA